TCAATTCTGCAGCAGATTGAGTTAGATCTAAAGGCTACCCAGGCTTTGGTTCTGGCTCCCACTCGAGAATTGGCTCAGCAGATACAAAAGGTGGTCATGGCATTAGGAGATTACATGGGTGCCTCGTGTCATGCCTGTATTGGGGGCACCAATGTGCATGCTGAGGTACAGAAGCTGCAGATGGAAGCTCCCCATATCATCGTGGGAACCCCTGGCCACGTGTTTGATATGCTTAACTGCAGATACCTGTCTCCCAAATATATCAAGATGTTTGTGTTAGATGAAGCTGATGAAATGTTGAGCTGTGGATTCAAGGACCAGATATATGACATATTCCAAAAGCTCAACAGTAACACCCAGGTGGTTTTGTTGTCAGCCACAATGCCTTCTGATGTGCTAGAGGTGACCAAGAAGTTCATGAGAGACCCCATTCGGATTCTTGTGAAGAAGGAAGAGTTGACCCTGGAGGGTATCCACCAGTTTTACATCAACGTGGAACAAGAGGAATGGAAGCTGGACACGTTATGTGACTTGTATGAGACCCTGACCATCACCCAGGCAGTCATCTTCATTAACACCCAAACGAAGGTTGATTGGCTCACAGAGAAGATGCATGCCCGAGACTTCACTGTCTCTGCCATGCATGGAGATATGGACCAAAAGGAACAAGATGTGATCATGAGGGAGTTCTGGTCTGGCTCCAGCAGAGTATTGATTACCACTGACTTACTGGCCAGAGGCATTGATGTGCAGCAAGTTTCGCTAGTCATCAACTATGATCTTCCGACAAACAGGGAAAACTACATCCACAGAATCAGTCGTGGAGGCCGCTTTGGCCGTAAGGGTGTAGCTATTAATATGGTGACAGAAGAAGACAAAAGGACTCTTCGAGACATTGAGACTTTCTACAACACCTCCATTAAAGAGATGCCCCTCAATGTTGCTGACCTCATCTGAGAGGGCTGTCCTGCTGCCTAGCCCCAACCAGAGTTCAACCTTGGGTGGCTGAGGAGCAGCCAGAGGGGGGAGGGAAGGGAGCTGAGGGATGGACATCTTGTCAATTTTTCTTTTTTTTTTTTTTTCCTTTGAATAAATGTCACTTTTTGAGGCAAAAAAAAATAAAATTAAATAAAATTAAAATAAAAACAAAACAGGAGGGTCAATGAGATAGCTCAGCAGACTAAGCAAGTGCCTCCTTAGGCAAGCAGAGGGACTGGGTTCAATCCCTGGCACCACATGCTACGCTGGCCCCAGCCCTGGGAGCACTGACCTTGTCACTGAGATCAGGCATGGTTGCACATGCTTGTAATCCCAGCACTAGAGAGCCTGAAAACAGGAGAATCACTACAGTCCAGAGCTTCATAGTGAGAACCTATACCAAATACAATTTTTAAAAAAGTTAAAAACAAAACAGGACTCATTTTTCATAAAGTCATCAGTGCTAAGACATCAGGTTTGGAATTTGGATGTTCCTAAAGGTTTATGTATTAAAAGTGTGGTCCCCAATGTGGCACTTTAGGTGGTCAAGCCTAGTGTTTTAAGTCATTGGATGTGCAGGCCTCTAAAGGGAACTGTGCAACCTCAGTCCCTTCTTCCTTGTCTTTTCATTTCCTGGCCATGATGTGAACAGTTTGCTCCACCACATATTCCCATAATGATTTGCTGCCTCAGACATGGGTCTTCTCAGTCATGGGCTAAAACATCTAAATCTATGAGCCAAAACAAAGCTTCTCACCTTAGAAATTAATTATCTCAGGTATTTTGCAATAGTGATAGAAAGCTGATAAACACAGTCAACAAGCACAACAAAGATTTCTCATTTTCAGCCCCTGTTGTCAACAAATTATGAACCAGTCGGGTTTAGTAGCCTCTTCCTGAAATTTCACATTAGCCATTCCTACCTCTGGTGCATACTATACTAGCATGTTAGTGTTCCATAGTTGTGAACCTGACAAAGTAAACTTATTAGAATGAAAGTTTCATTTTCCCAGCTTCAAAGGTTTTAATCCATGGCCAACCATCCCATGGCTTTTGGGTATGTGATGAAGGAAAACATCATGGCAGGGAGCAAATGTGGAGAAAAGACACTTGCAAAGAAGCAGAGACAGGAAAAATCCATAGGTCCCAAAATCCTGTTGAAGGGCACATCCCAATGACTTCCACCCACCAGACCCCTCCTCCTTGGAGCACCACAGGCTAGCAGACAAGCCTTCAACAGTGTCTTATATGAGATGTGTAACATCTAACCTCTAACACTAATAATTGTCATAAAGGAGAAGGTACTAATCAAGTATCTCTTATTTTGGGTGTTTTGTTTTGTTTTTTTAAGTACACAAGGTTCTTACAATTCTTCAATCAGTTACATAAAATGTGGTGGTCCAAGCACTGGCCTCAGGTAGACTCAAATTCAATAAGACTTTGAGAAAGTCATGTTAACATGTTTCAAACTCAATTTTCATAATTTATAAAATGAGTTTGGACTAAAATTAAATATATTTCTTATACTACCAGGTTTATAACTTTTGTAAGTTAAATTTTAAAAGTCAAAAAATATGTAACCTAATAAATTTTGAAAATACTATATTTGAATCTCTCTTTAGAAGAGTCACAAGATCTTTTGACATGTTTAGAGTTCTCATATTCCTCCACCATGACTTTGTCTGACCAGCATTTTGAAATCATGGTTGGTCACAAAATGCTTTTAACCAGAGACTCCTATGAGCACTTGGAGAATGGTTTCACGGAACCCATTTTTGGAAATGTTCATTTACAGATTTTTTTGTTTGTTATTTGTTTTTTGTGGGACCAGGGACTAAACTCAGGACCTTGCACTTGCCAGCCCCTTATGCTGCTGAGCTATATTCCTGGCTCCAGAAATGTTCATTTAGTCCCCCACTCATTTACTAATACTTATTCCCCTAGTCTTCCTACACTGCAGAATTCTTCCGTTGCACCTCAGATTGTTTTCTTGTCTGAGGAAAAGACTTGCCAAGTGATTCACAAGAAAACTAATGGAATCAGAACCAGATCTGAGGCAGAATACATTTTGCTGCATTTGGTCAAGAGCCCCATGGCTCATCAATATGACTCTAGTTATAAAAATACTGGTATACAGTAAGTGTTATGGACATTTTCCATGTCCGTGACACACTAGAACTTTGTGTGATATCCTATCCCCAAACTGTTAGAAGTGTTGGTCTTTTATTTGCCATTCCAGTATTTATCTTATGTTTTATTCTTAGTAATTCTTTACTATCATGAAAACTTTTCCTTAGTCCAATTGTTTTGAAACATTCAATCATTAATTAATTAGCATTTAATTTTCTGAATATTGCTTAATCTTAATTTTTATTTTAAGATTTATACTGTATATTTGACTTACAATCTATTTAAAAGACATGGCATGATATTTTCTCCTAGTGTTAGAAACTTTAAAAAGTATATTTCCATTTTCCATTGACTTTATATTACTTCTTCCCTATCTTTTATACAAACACACACACACATATATGAAAAAATATGTGTATAACCTGGCATAAGATTGATACTGTTTCATAGAAATCTTTACTGACTTTTTAAATGGGTTCATCTAAGATATTTTACATAGTCCTGCATAACTACCATATTGAAAGCTCTTTATTGTTCATCCAGGAGCATACAGCAACTTCTCTTGCCTTCTGAATTATGCTCTTTGTTATTTCCTATATGCTACATCTGGAGGTATCAGAATATTTCGAGTTTGTTTAACTGGAAAATATTTTACTTTTAGTTTTGAAAGATACATTTGCTAAGTATAAAATTCAAAGAGGACAAATCTGTTTTTTTTCCTTTCTTTCAATTAATTTCTTCAATTAGTCTAGTTTCTTAAACACTTGGTCTTTTTTTTCTTTCTTTCTAATGTTGAATAAGATGCTATTTCATTTTGTTCTTCCATAGCTAATTTTTTATGTATATGCTTTAATGATTTTTTCTTTACAAAAAGTTTTGGACAATTTCACTTTTGTGTATGTGGGTATGATTTTATTCAAATTTCTTGTGCAAAACGTTCATTTTTTGGAAATGTGGTGTTATAAATCCAACTAAATTCAGAAATATTAAATCTTTAAATATTTATTGCTTACTTCTTTCTACTTTGAGAATTCTAATTATATGAATATAAATTTCTTGATTTTGACACAAAGTGAACTATTATATGACTGATCTGTAAATTCTTCGTTTTTATTTTGGACAATTTTTGTTATATTCATTTAATTTTGTAAATTATTTACAATGTGCAATCTATTATTAATCTCATGTGATGTATTCATTTCAGAAATATTACTCTGAAAATCACTCTGACTATCTTTCACATTTCAGTATTTGTCTACAATTTTTAATATGATATGTAATTATTGATTTTGATAAAGTTAATGAAAAAAGAAAGAAAGAAGTGAAAGGTATAGAAATCAACTAAAAAAATAAATACTAGTATACAATCCAGGTGTGGTGGTACATGCTTATAATCCCAGGATTCTGAAAGCCTAAAGTAGGAAGACCACAAGTTCAGATCCACATAGCTTAAAACCATAATTCTAGGCAAAATACATCAGACAGAGAAGGCTATATGTCACATGGTTTGTCTTTTGTGAAAAACCTAAAATATAAAAAACTTAAAAAGCAAAATAAAAGACAAATTATAGCATACAGGGAGGTAGACCTTTTGCAAATGGAAAAGGGATGGAAGGGGGGAAGAAGAAAGGAGGAAAAAGAGGAGAAAAGGAAGTAAAAAGGACTAAGAAGTAAAAATATTTAAGATGTGTCATATACATGTACCAAATACCAACAATGAAGTGAGCATTGTATGTCCTAAATATGAGCTAAAATAACATTAATAATAATAATGAAGATGGGGAAAGGGGATCGAGAGATGGAAGGAGAAGTTGAGTGGGGGAAAGGGGAATAAAAAAGAATCAAAATGTTTTATGGTCCTGTACTTACTCTCTAGGATGACTATAAGCATCATGTACTGCAGTCATGTGCAAATAAAACAAAATTTTAAAAAGATGTAACATATGTGTAACAACTCCCTACTCTGAAGTTATTCACTATATATTGTTAGTCATATACTAGTAACAAAAAAAGAAATAAGATTTCTATCTAATAATAAAAAAATAGTTCAGGCCCAGCCTGGACAACTTAGCAACTTAGCAAATTTCATCTCAATTTAAAAAATAAAAAAGGGCTGCAAGTGATACAGCACCAGATTCAACCTCTAGTACTGAAAAAAAAAGAACAGTACATGAGTTCCTGGAAGTTGGCTGGGGAGGGAGTACAGAGGGAGTGCTGAGAAATCATCATCACGCTGGTGGTCCTGCTTTCTCGTGGTGTTACTGCTACCATTTCTTCTTCACAGTTTCTGAAAGAACTAGACTTTTCTTTCCATTCCGCAAGGAGACTGTTCTCAACAACTTTTCTTTTGCAGTTCTTAGAAATGAATATTTATCTTACTGTTCACCAGGAAAAAAAAAAAAATGCCTCTTCAGCACCCAAGGATAGCCAATAGGCTTCTGACCCAATTTCTCCCTGGCTTGGACTGCTGAGGAGGGAAGGATTCTAAGGCAACATTCAGACTCATTGGCCAAGATTTTAATGATTGGAAAATAATGGATGAAAAGATCAGGAGGCAAATGTACATCCCATGGATTTGCTGCCATGTCTGGGCGTTAAGGTGAGTTCAAAGCCACAATGTCCAGAAGCTAAAAGCAACACAAAATGGTCATAAAGCAGCAGGAGAAATTGAAACAAATTTTTGCTCTTTTAAACATATAGTTCATTGTATATTACCAGTCCTTGAGGAAAAAAGTTGTGAAAAATAATTTCACTTTATTACCTTCTCAGACCCTGCTACTGATTCAGGTGGGATTGGAATTAATAAAATTCTGAAATGGAAGATTGAATTGTATGTGCTGCAATTCCATTTTATTTCATTATAGATAATAGTACTCACCAAAAGTAACTTTTTTCCATAATTTTATTGTTAAACAAATAGCAATGAGACAGTTTCAAATCAAATTGGTAGAACAGTTTCAATAATTAACACATTGC